CACCAGTATATTTCTTTGGTTTCCTTGAGGCTTTTGTAGTGAAGACTAGAAAGATGTAGAGGACTTGTAGGTATTGGGAAGTGAAAGTGATATTTTTTTCTTTAATTTTTAAAAAATTACTATAAAAGAAAATTTTTAAGAAAAATGTTATATACAGGAAAGAGTTTTTTTTTTATAATATTTATTTATTTATTTATATGATATTATATATATAATATGGAACAAAAAAATTTGTTTTTTTAATATTTTTATATTTTTTATCATGTTTTGATAATTAAATAATAAAATAAAATAAAATTTATATTTATATATTTGAAAGTATAAAGAATAAGTTTACTTAAAATGATTTTTAAATATTGTTAATAAATTTATTATAAAAAAATTATTAATAAAAAATTATTAGAATTGATTATTAGAATTATTTTAATATATAAATTTGTTAATTAAAAATTAATAAATATAAAATTGATTTTTATAAATTTAAAAAATTTTATTATTAAGTAATATATTTTAAATCAAATAATTTTTTTTTAAATTTTTTTTAATATTTTCCATGTATAATTCATATATAAATATTAGTCAAAAATTATTTAAAAAAACTTTTTTTAACTTTTAACTAATAAATTAAACTAAAATTAATTAATTTATTACTAAAAAAACTTTAATATTATATTATTTAGATTTTAAAAAAGATACAGTGGCACCTGTCTAAATGCATACTGTTGGAATCAACAAACTTTTATGCATTTAAACAGAATATGCATATATATGTTTATATATAAATATTTCTTTTAGTATTAAGATTATAATTTATAATTATCAAAGGAAATTTTTGTCTATAACAAAAAATGCTAAATTACTAAAGAAATTACTATTTCAATTTCTTTTGGAATCTTAATAAAAGTTGTTTCTCTAGACTTTTTGCAAATAGTTACTTAGAACAGAAAAGAAGCTTTATAATTAGAATTTTGAGTTACGGCACTCCAAATTTGTAGTACTGTTCAAAATTATATAGATGTTTTGAGAATTCTTGGGAAAAATATTAAGATATTATATAGAAAATATAATAAAAAATGATAAATAGAGATAATATATATTAATATCTATCAAATGTTATAAAATTTTTTATAAAATAAAATAATTTTTTATATTTTATTCAAATATTACTTATTATATTAATAATTATAATATAGTTTAAAACTATAAATAAATTATTAATATGGTTTCAAAAATTGAAATCGAATAAAATCGAACAGAATTACATGAGGTTCAGAATACTATTAAAAATAATGATGGGGTATATCCTACCTATTAAATTTAATATAAACTTAAGAATCAAATACAGAATCAAAAAGAATCATTAAGATTTTTAATTATTAGTATGTATCTATTTTTTTGAAATATGTATTTTCTAGTATTATTAATCTTTTCTTTTATAGCAAAATATGCATATATGCATTAAGAAATCTTATCAAAATCAATAAAATATGCATGTTTACATTATGTAAATAATTTATAAGTCTCAACATGGGATCAAACTATTTTTATGCAATAATACAGATTATACATGTATTTGTATTTAATTCAAACATTTTTCAAAAACTGTATTATGTTTGTATTATTAAGTAACAATTAGTAAATAATTGAAAATCGTATTTAATTCGAAATCATATTGTCAATCAAATTTTCTTTTATAGTAATAAGGAAACATATATAATACAGATTATACAAATATACAATATGCATTTAGACAGGTGTCACTATATATATTAATTAAATTATTATTTATTAAATAATAATAAAAAGAACAAGTTTTTTTATTACACACTGTATTTTTTTATAAATTTTTATATTAACATTATAATTGAATACTTTTTTGTTTATATTAAATTAATAAAATATTTAATATTAAAAAAATTATATTTTAATATATTATTATTATATTATAAAAAATATACAGTATATATATATTTTTTAAATAGGTAAGCATTATTTTTTTTATTTGATTTGTATAATAAAAAATATATATTATAAAAGAAATAATATTTCTCAAATAAAAAATTAATAAAAAATCAATAAAATTAAATTAAACTATGCAATAATAGATAACAAGTAATGTAAAAAAATTTTTAATTTTTAATATTACATTTAAAAAAAGGATTTCTTTATAATAATTACGTATGTTTGTTTAAATACATATATTGAATGTTTTTAATTAAATATGTATATTATTTTAATGAAAAAATTTTCCGATTCGTCAGAGCTTCATATGATCTAGATTTTGTATAAAAAAAAAAAAAACTTTATCAGAAAATTTTGTAGACCGTTGATTTGAAACAGTATAATGGTAACTTGAATTATTAATCAATGTTTCGGTAATGTAAGGTTTAGAGGGTATTAAATATACTTGACATTTTACTAGCGACCTATTTTATTACAAGGACACACCCGATCTCTTACTCAGATTAAGTATAATAGGGAGGGGGACCTTCTTTTCACAGTTTCGAAGGATCATGTCGTGAATGTTTGGTATTCACACAATGGAGAACGTCTAGGGACTTATAATGATCACGTTGGTGCTATTTGGTCTGTTGATGTTAATTGTATCCTTTGATATTTAGATTTGTATTATATAGAAGAGGAAATTTTAAATTGTGTATAACAACTTAATTCCCCTGATCGAATCCAGCAACAACCACTCTCCTAATTACTGGTTCGGCAGATAATACCGCAAAGCTTTGGAATGTTCAAACTGGCAAGTGCTTACACACTTGGGAGTTTAAAACTGCCGTAAAACGTGTTGCATTTTCTGAAGATGACACCATGGTGCTTGCCATAACTGAACAGCGCATGGGATTTCCGGGAACGGTAGTCATTTTGAAGATTAATCCAAATGTTGAAGCAAAACGTAATCTTACCTATTCGATCCTTGTTTATAATAATTATTACCTACAATTATTCACGATGAATTTATTTTATTCATAATTAGAATCCGACGAACATATTAATGTCATATTGCCTAAAGGTTCAAAAGCAATGGTGGCAGATTGGGGATATCTTAATAAGTATATAATAACTGGCCACGAAGATGGAAGCGTCGCTTTGTATGATTGGAAGGTTCGCATGTTAACGCACATGAATAAGTTATCATTTTTTGCATTTTTTTTAAGCGGTGTTCTCGTTTAACCATAGACTTCCGATCAAATCAAATCAATTCATCCTCATGCTGCTGAGATCACCGATCTTCAATTTTCTGAAGATCGCACATATTTTGTCACTTCGTCGAAGGATAAGTCAGCACAGATCTTTGAATCTAATACTTTAATTCCCCTGAAAAAATATGTGACCGATGCCCCTCTCAATTCCGCCGCCGTCACACCGATCCAGGAATTCGTTATTTTGGGTGGTGGTCAGGATGCTATGCAAGTTGCTTTGGCTTCGTCGAGACAGGGTAAATTTGAATGTCGATTTTGGCACAAGATCTTAGAGGAGGAAGTTGGTCGGGTAAAAGGTCATTTTGGGCCGATCAATACTATTGCTGTTCACCCTGATGGCAGGAGTTTTTCGTCGGGAGGAGAAGATGGTTATGTTCGAGTTCACCATTTTGACGATGATTACTTTAAATTCAAGTATCCTGAACTATCTTAATTGAATGATGTAAAAAATTTTTTTTATTAAAGCATGTTTTGGTGGTTAGATTTTGTATATACAAACCAAACCGATTTTCGACAGTTTAAGGTGCACGCATGAGATATATAAGTTACTTTATCGTACTAGGCAAAAGACTTTACTTGGGTAGACGCATAAAACATATACTCAAACTCTAATACTTTTGTTTCTCATTAACTGTAACAGTATCGAAATTCTTTATTGGTATAAAGAAGCATAATGCTGTGCTTGAAAGTGAGAGTTATATCGAAAGATTTTTATGTACATGTTTGAAAAATAATGAACGACAGATTATTGATCAGTCTGAATACCATATTATGAAAATAATTAAATGTTTCAGTGAAAATAAAGAGAAAACGGGGAACAAAGTTTAAAGTATAAAATTATGTAATGTTCCCCCCTTGTTATTAAGAGCTTTTTTGTCTTATATTTCTATCTTTAAGCTTCAGCCGCTGCGGCTCCTTTCTTTGACTTTTTCGGTAAGAGATTTTGATGAATATTCGGTAAAACACCCCCTTGAGCGATTGTAACGTGTCCAAGTAATTTGTTCAATTCTTCGTCGTTGCGAATAGCTAGTTGGAGATGGCGGGGAATGATTCTTGACTTCTTGTTGTCTCGTGCAGCGTTACCAGCAAGTTCAAGAATTTCCGCAGCAAGATATTCGAGAACGGCAGCTAGATATACAGGCGCACCGGCACCAACTCTTTGAGCATAGTTTCCTTTGCGGAGTAGACGGTGAATACGACCCACAGGAAATTGAAGACCTGCTTTTGCTGAACGAGATGAGCTGGCCTTAGAAGCAGTTGCAGCAGCAGATTTACCACCAGATTTTCCTCCAGAAGACATTTTTTTTTGTGCGGAATAAGAAAAAGAGGTTGAGATTTAGTTTTGATTTGACTTTTTTACGAAAGGTATTAGGAGTTCGCAGCAGAAGAGCAAAGTTCTTTTCAGAAAATATTTTTTGGAAATTGGGAAATAAGTTGGTAGAGAGATGAACGGTGGGATTTTATAGGAAATTTCAAGCCGCGCTTTTGTGGCCAATAATAATACCAAGGTGATGTGTAAATAAATAAAACTAACTCCCGGCATTTCAAAATAATATCGTCACGTTACTTAATACCGTTAAACAAATCATGTTGCTTAGAAATGACGCGTCACGGGCCTTACAACGCGTTGATCGACGCGTGATCTTTTGGCTTCGTAAGTATAACGTGATTCAAAATATCCTTTTATTTTGGTGACCGGCAATAAAAAAATCAGATACGTTTGCCGGTTGAGATCAAAATATAGATCTTAAAATAAAAACACCATGTGCGCGACTTGACGCGTTTTGATCAAGTGAATATTTTATATAAAAGGAACCCTCACCCACCTCTTTCTCGTTTACAAACATTCATTTTCACAACATATTGTAAGATACATCACGGTTTCTCTCTGCACTTCTAAATTTCATCTATACTTTCATCTTAAACAAATACCGAATTAAAATGGGTCCAAAAGCCGAAAAGAAGCCTGCCACCGCCGGAAAAGCTCCAGCAACTAAAGCTCCAGCCGAGAAGAAAGAATCCAAAAAATCTACCACCTCTGGCGAAAAATCCAAGAAACGCAAGGTCCGAAAAGAAACCTACTCAAGTTATATCTATAAAGTTCTCAAACAAGTACATCCCGACACTGGTATCTCCAACAAGGCCATGTCAATTCTCAATTCCTTCGTTAACGACATCTTTGAACGTATCTCGGGGGAAGCTTCTAAACTTGCTGCCTACAACAAAAGATCAACTATCTCCTCTAGGGAAATTCAGACGGCAGTTCGTCTGATTTTACCTGGCGAGTTAGCAAAACATGCAGTATCTGAAGGTACCAAGGCCGTCACGAAATACACTAGCTCTAAGTAATCAAGCGGGTTTCGAAGGAGGGGGCGGGTAGATTCATTTTGTGCATAACATAGATATTCTTTATTTCTTAATAAATGCAAGATGGGGAGTGCGAGCTCCCTAACTTTCGTCCTTTAATTAAATAATAACAACTTTAATTTCTCTTCAAATATCATTCATTAAGAGTATCTCTAGCATTTAAAATCGCCATTGCTTTAATAAAAAATAAAATTTGACATGTAAGAACGCGTGAACTATGATCAATTGTTAAATTGCATTAAAAAACCATTATTGTAGACTTGTCGAAACAGTATAAAATTTTTTTGATGCTTTATTTGAATTTATGTTGTTATACAGTAAAGAATGATTTTTAAAGTATTACTGGATAGATTCGACCATAAAGTTGAAAAGACTTGCAATATCGCATCCTCAGCCATTTCGTTATCGACTTCTACGTTCAACCTTCCTTTCAACTTCCTGACGTGTTCTGTTAGACTCAACAGATTGTATCTATCGGGTATTTCGTGATAGATGAGCCACGATGTGAAATATTTTAAAACTTTTTCGCTATTTTCTTCGTTTTCAAGTTGCTTTGTTGGTGGAAACTCAGTATTGGCAAAGTACGACTTCAATAATTTCGCGAAATACAGATGATCTTGGTTAACTCCCGCCGTGACATTGTTCAATGAAGATAATTTAAAGATTTCAAAGGGAATCTCAAAAAATCGGTTCATTATCGCTCTCAAAGAAGAAATATATTCTTGTTTTATAAGAACTTCATCCTTTTGATGTCTGTCCTGATGCCTCCCTATGCTCTTGTAGTACTCAAAAATCAATATAACGTTCCAAAGGTTCAACTCGTTCATTTTTATCAAGTTTTTCTGAATTTGATAGAGCTCCAAGTATATTTGGATCGCTTCAACTTTATCCGCATTCAAACATTCGGAAAGTATGACATTACAAAATTTTAATAGATCTTGTCCGCCACCATCGGCATTGATGCTGAAATCTTCACAAAGATATCGAGAGAACGCTTGGACTTGGGGATCCGATGAAAATATCCCAATGAAGTCGAGCTTTTTTTGACCGGTATTTGAAGAATTTGTCGCACCTAGTAAAGTGTTACCGTCGGGAAAAATTCGAGTAAATAAGTTCCTTAGACCCTGTGGATCCTAATGAAAAAAAAAAAAAAAATCCACATCAATAAAATAATAATAAAATCTGTGGAAGACAATACAAGATTACCTCGGCATAAGTTAGATGCCCAATCTTCCTTTTTACATAAAGGGTTGAATTTTTCCAGAACCTTTGATCAAATTCTGCATTCTTTCCAAACTCCAATTTCATGGGCCAATACCTCGGACTGTCTATTTCAATCTTCTGTATGAATTTTGATTCAGGTAACAAACAAGGTGCAACCGATTCCTTCGTCTTTGTATCAGTCTGAATACCATTATTCAAAATCTCAGCGTTGTACATGTCATTAAACACAATCTTCACCGGAACATGACAGACTTCGCGTGTCTCAATATCCCTTAATACCAAGCATCTTGGTTCAACGGCCAGTACCCATAAATGTCTAAAAGCTTGCAGATGCGCGCGATTATCATAGGTTTCAATTGGATATCTTGGGAATAAAGAACAAACCAAACCAGCGATTGCTCTGTTCGACGTTGAAAGAGTATAGTTTCCGCCTCCAAGAAACAAGAAACCTAACGCCATACTTGTCATCATGTGGGTTCCATAGGATCGAGATATGGAACTCGAGTTGACAGTATCAACCTCTTGTTTATGAAGTTTACGTATTCTCCGCATGACTTCGAGATTCCCAGTACCCGCAGCGACAATAGAAGTACATGTTGCTAGAACGTTTAAACAAATTTTGATTGCGGACAACGTGATGTTCTCATCGAAAGTTGGAGCTGAAATTATAAATTCAAATTGATTTAGCATCCTTAAGTAGACAACACAACGGAAAAAATACATGAACCCCTATCATAACAATAAATACCAATTGATCTTTCACTTTCTAGTCCCATAAATAAATCCAAATAATGTAATAAACATTTGAGCGCATTTTTATCCGCGGATCCAGCAAATTTCAATGACATGCTAAAACATGCACCGGCCAAAATGTAATAATACGACCTCCTGATAGATTCTAGATTTTCGCAATCAAGTTCACGACTGCGAGCCAACTTCGCCTTCATATATTGAGGTATGTGACTTTCAACCCAAGTTTGCGTCGATCGAATATCATCCCACATTATCAGATTCCTTGCAAGTGTTCTAACTAACAGGAAATCAGGTCGCATATAATCCAAAAAAAATTCGGCCTCAGGTATTGGAATTTTGTTTGCGACACTGACTTTACCTGTCTTTAAGTATAATAATCCAAGGGCGATTGTTGCACCCGGAGACGTGATATTGACATTACTTTCATTAGCAGACTGTGGTTTCTTTGCACCACCGGCGATATATAAGCGCAGTTCTTTAAATAAATCCAGATCTATGGATTCGCATGCATTGTCACCGTGACCCAGATTTACAAATCCCAGAGCTAATCCTGCAGCAAGTGAATATCCTTCAGTGAAGTCAGTTTCAGAACTATCGGACGTCTTCAAAGCTCTTGTAGATATTTCTGCAAGCATGATCTGTGACATGTACCTATTACAAGTTTCCATATAAAGCAAACCACAACCAAGTATTGAAGCGGTTTGCACAAGAGGCGAAACGTTCAAACTAGTTGACTTTGGAGGAAACATAGCCGTCACATGAACCGCCACAAATTTTGTGATTTCGGTATTCATCGTACCAATATATGAAGCAGGTAAACCGAGTACCAAAGCAATGGTTGTAATATCGTGTTTTGGTGTTTTCATTAAATAATCAACGGCTTGCCACGTTGCCATGGATTTCAAATGTCCATTCAATCCTAATCCTAGAAGAAATCCCGCATGACTGTTGTTAAGTTCTTTGGGTTTATTAAGTGAAATCCAAGATCCTTCAATGATGGTTGTTGAAGGAATTCGTAAACCGGATGCCACACCATCATGAAATTCTGGCCATTCGATGCTTTCTGGTAGACGAATTGCTCGTCCAACTTCTATCAAAGAATTAAAAGGTGACACCTTGATAGACGCGCTAAAACCAGGTATTGGAAATGGTTCAGTGACAATCGGAGTCGCGGTACCATAAGTTAATATTCCCCGACCTACGGGCTGTGAAAAATTTTTTAAACATTGTACTTGAACTTTTTCAAGCATCTGAGGTGAATTATCTTCGTTCTGAATGCTATTATACACACGTAAGCAAATAGATAAATGACTAAATAACATCACCTGTTCTTATAAAATGTTAATGCAATCTTACCTTAAATCTGATAAAGGTACATCCGCCTTCACCACATTACAGGATTGTAAGAGTAGTTGTACTTCGAACAACCTTTTATCGTTTCCAAATCTCAGATCCGAGATTTCATGATTTGAAATCTCTGTTCCGGTACTGTCTTGTTGATGATCTTGTGCTGTCGGTGTTGATGAGGCTGAAATTGCTGACTCGACAATCTGTAGGATATTGCGTGGTTTTGATTCCTAAAATCACAAAATACGACGATAAATCTTTGATCAAAAAGAAAAATTTGGAAAAATATAAAAATGACTACTAATACCATCTTGTTACCATGAGTGTGAATATATCCGATTGGAACACCGTATGACAATTCAGCCAAGTCTTCCCGTCCTACATATTATTATTATAAGTGAACTCTATAAGTACGAAAATAATAAACATCCACTTATACACACCAATTAATATATAGGCCTCGCCTGGCCAATTCGAAGGGGGCTCATCTCGACACGTTCTTATCGCTTCACGTAAAGGAATTGCCACACCAAATGGTAAAGAATCGATGTCTTTAATTGAAAACCCAATTTTAACAATTTCAAGAATCGTCGATCTTTCTCCCTCATTAACTAACGTATTGTATATCAAGCTGACTTTTCGAGTTCTTGAGCAGCAATCGAAATCGTGAATCAAATTTTCCTCAATTTTGGAGACCGAAAAAATTTGAGAAATGTCTTTTATGTCGGGGAAATTATCATTTCTTTCGACTTCATGCCGGAGACATTTCAGGATCCACCGAAAAATATCGGGTGGGATAAAGAAAGGGTGATCGTCGGGTAACCTTGATTCCGTGATAACGGCTAAAAATTAAAAGACGATTACAAAGTCACCTTACTACACCAAATTTCAATAATTGAACCCACCTTGTTCAAATCGAAATTTTTGATTCATCTCAAAATTTCGTTGATAGTAATCAATATATGCATCCCAACCAAGAAAATATGCCAATTGAATTAATAACGGAATGAGATCATTGATAAACTTTTGTAGCAGAACGTTTAACCTCAAATCTTGATAAACCAAATGAAGTGACAAAAGAATGCTGGGTAAGAAACTAAGAAACTTTTTTTCTAATCTTTGATAGTACGTGAATGAAGCACAATGAAGTTTTTGGGATCTTTCAAGTAACTTAATCATTGAACAATTTTTGGTAATTATCGGTGGCTGCAGACATTGAAAGTGTGTATTGAAATTGAACTTTGTGTGTCTGGAAGATGCCATTAGAAAATCCCAATCGCTTGTTTCTAGTTTCTTGAAAGATTCTTGATATCCATAACCTGAAAAATCTTGTCCCATTAAATGGATAAATGAAAATAGGACGGTAACAAAATTTTCCCACTCCGTTCCCCTCTGTATGTCTGAAAACTTTTCGTTGGTACCATACTGAAATAACATATATTGTGCTTTGAAATCAAAAAATAAACCTGTCGGTAAAACATAACTCAGAGCTTCTAAACAAGAGCGGACAAGTTTGGAATTTGGAAGAAAGCTCAAGGAAACCCTCACAACGCAATTAGAAAAAACTAAATTTACTCGATTGCAAACATAATCACGCAACCCTATTATAAACGCGTTTGAATGGGGTGGAAAATAGTTCTGAGTGGATACTAAATATTTACGAAATAGTTGCTGGGAAAAAGCTTCTTGCAAAACATGAACGTCCTTTCTTGACAACTCTTCCCTCCTACCATCAGATTCGAATCCGGATTTGATTATATTATAATCAAGGTTTAGAGGAATGAGTTTTCCATAACCAATCCAAAGCTCCAATGTCGAATTTTTTTCTCCTTCTCTTATAAACAACATGTCATAAAGATGCGTCCTCGTGGCGATCACAGGAGCGGCGGCCCCAATTTTAAATTCGAACTTGGCAGATATTTGCAAATCATGAGAACTTGCACAAATGTCTAAAGCCATAAAATCCTTTGATCTCCTGGAAAATATGCATAAAATTTCGTGTCCATCATAGTCATGTGCAATGAACACATCACTCGCCTCGAACCTTTCACTTGTATACCAAAAAAATAAAAAATGAGTATCTGCGTATGAAATTCATTGACATAGTACATCTCGAATATTGATAATTACATTTTGGCTATGGATTCCGTCCAAATCAATTCCAAGAATACGTCGCTCTTGGCATCCGGTCTGATTCTCAGGTCATTAAAGATTTCATCATGATCGGAATATAAAAGCCGATCCATGCTTTGAAACGAACTTCGCCCTTCTGCGCTCTGAAAAGAATCTTCAATTCCGCATGAAATTCTACCATCAAAATTTTGGAGTACTTCAGCTCGAGTATTTGAACTACTTCGTCTCCGCATCAATGTTGGATATGAGCTGAGGCCTCCCGATCGCGTCTTTAAGTTATTTTCTTTGTTCTTAATGGCATATTTATATACTGAATGACGTAGGGTTATACTATTCAAGGTAACCAAGATGGGATTCCCGTCTCCTCCACGATCATTAACAAAGATCACTACTTCATCGGTATCCGTAAATAGTTGTGTTCGGCCTTTTATGTTTATCTTCGATCCATCAGTTATAATTTTTTCTGCAATTGTTAACGATCTAATTTCCTCTAAAGGATCTAAAAGGCTATAAAGTGTAGGCAAAGAACCTGATGGAAGATTCGATACACTCGGGTAAGATTTATCATCAACAACGCATTGTAAAATGACGCCTATATCCATAGCCCACGCGCGTCTCACGGGTGAAGGAATCCTGATTAGAAAATTCTGCCCGTCTAATAAATACACTTTTGCGTAATCTTCGAGCAAAACGAACAATGCTCTTTGTCTACCATGCCTATTCGCGAACTTTGATTCACCACAAGTATCAGTCGCGTTGAACCAGACGAATAAAGCTTGAATAACAGGTTCCGTGAATTTGAAACTCTTTTGCAGTACATTGCCTCTACTCCAAATAACGAGATTATTTTCAACAAAAAGTTCTTCAACATTTTCATTATCGTTTGATTCTTTTGCAGAACGATCAAACCCTCTATAAAGTTTATAGCCAAATTTGGAAGTACTATCATACAAGTTTTTTTTTGTTGCCCGCTTATGAAGAAAATTTGGTGGCTGATTTTGTTTACACGTCTCAGAAGGATCTTCACGTCTGATATGTTGCTCGCCAAAAGAAATGAACTTTCCCAACACGCGTACCTCCATTCTGCTGGCTTTGAATAATGCTAATTTAATAAAAGTATTAAGCAATAATTTGGATTGGCTAGATTTATATTGTATAAATTTTAATATTAAAAATTAAAAAATTTATATGTATTTATTTATTTATAAAAGAAAAGATTATTATACTCTAATCAAAGTTTTAAAATAAAATAAAATTTTATATGTATATATTTGAAAATATGAAGAATATATTTACTTAGAAATTTTTTTTTAAAAATATTAATTTGAAAATAAAAAAATATATAATAAAGAATTTTTTTCAATTATTTTAATAAGACTTATAAAATTATAAAAAAAATTTATATAATTTTTTATGTTAAGTTTATTAAATTAATTAAATTAATTAAATTCTTGTTTAAAAATTATAATTTTATAGTAAAGTTAATTTTTTTGACATCTTAAAAATTATTTAAAAATTAATTTTATAAAATAAAAAATCATATAAATTAAATTATTTTTTTTTTTTTTTTTTAATGTTAGAGTAAGGTATTACTCATGATCTTTATTAATAGAGTAAAAGTTTAACTTGTTACATAATTAAT